ACTTTGAGCTTCCAGAGTTGGCAAATTGTGGGAAGGCAAATATATGAAGAAACTAATGGAAGATAAGGATTTTTTTAAGCAACATTTGTGTTGATTCCTTTGGTGCCACTTCTGGGCTGTTAAGAGTCTAGACTTGTCTCCAGGAGTTAAGAATCATCCTTCCTTTTCTAAGAGAAAGGGGGAGGGCAGAGAGTTGTTCTTACTGCCTTCGGCAACAATAATCCTTATGTCAGAATGGCATATTTTGGGGTGGCATGCTCTGAACCCCCCCAGGATATATTGGATTAAATAAAATATAATATTAAAATTAAGTCCATGTATTTCTTCTTACTTTTTAGATGTGACCCCTAGAAAATTTGAAGTTACGCATATTATTTTTCTATAGGATAGGGCTGGGCCAAATTATGGCATACCTTGAATATCAGACAAAATGTTTGAAAGGTGTTTCTCCCTCAGCACCAGATTTTGGCAATGTGAGGTGTATATGATGCCATCAGCGAGGTAGGGCACATGCTGCTATTATAATGATATGATGCAGGAAAGAGGACCAAGAATTGGAAGGAGGCTGGAAAACGAGCTGCTCTATTTGCTCTGTTTCAGTAGGTGGTCTGGGGTTTTATTCATAATAGAAATAAATGACAAAGTTGTTAATACGGCTGCTGTGATAGTAAAAGGAAAGGCAGTAACTCTCAAGAGAAACTAGAGGTAATCCAGTACCAGATTTGCTCTGTTTCAGTTTTATAGAAAATACCTCATCATTGAAATTTCCATAGGAAAAACATCTGTTACTACTAGTCTAAATCTCTCTAGACTGTAACTTCCATTTTCCCCTTGAAATGATAGTTTTTAATGGAATTGTTAAAAACTGAAGGTTGCTTAGGGACCCAGTTACTGAGTTTTTAAACTATGTGAAATTTACCTGAAGTACTTCAGAATAGATAGTGTGATGTGTAGGTGTCTGTTTAAATTAGTTTTAATCTATACCCAAGGAGATATTTGTTAACACCTGCAGTATTCTAATCATAAATGCATACTTGAAAAGTGGGTAGCACGTGAAAGATGCTGTCTGGATGACATTTCTGCAAGAAGTTCAAAAATTGCCATCTGCATCTGCACCTAAGGGGACTGAAAGGGAAAACCGAAGGGTAAAGTGAATGACATGCCATGCCAGGAGCCTGGCAGCTAACACCTTGGGGAGAAATTCCTAGATTTAGAATTCTGTCCTGCATTCATTCTTTTAATGGAGGATTCTCTTGTCTGATCCAATTAGAAAGTTAGTTGATCTTCAGTCAGAACATGTTCTCAGGTTCCTGGGAGCCAGCCTTTCAGGCAAAGTGCTCATTGGTGTTCCTAGACGATCAGGGAGTTAGAATTCCACTGAGCTTCCAGAGCAAGAAGGATGAGTGTTCGAGAGTCCGTTTGTAATAGATATTTGCACACATGTCTTGGTCTGAGACTTATTTCCATGAGCGGTTATGGGAACACCAGTAGCCAAGTGACCATACATCCTGGTTTGCCCGGGAGAGCCCCAGTTTACACTTACTATCCAGCCTTGATATTAATATCACCACCTTTCACTCTTAAAAGTGCCTGAATTTGAAAGATAAATTATATAGTTACTCTTCTGTGGTGGCTTTAAAATATGCTCACAGATTCTTTGCTATTCCTCCCTTTAAGAGGTGGAACCTAATTTCCCACCTCTTGACTATGGGCTGGATTAGTGACCGGCTTCTAAGAAATAGCATGAGGCAGAAGCGATGGTGTGTTGACTTCAGAGCATAAAGGCACTTACTCCTTGCTCTCTTTTGGATCACTCACTCTGGGGAAAGCTAGCTGCCATGTTGTGAGCATTTTGTAAACAAGGAATCTGAGATTCTGGTAAAGCGGCTTGCCTAAATCCCCACAGCCAGGTAGGTAGTGATGGATCCAGCTCTCAAACTGTGTCCATCTGACTCCAAACCCACACTCTTAAAAGAACAGAAGTATGTTCTACTGCTTTGCAAAAAAGAATCCAGAAAAATGATATAACAGAAATTTTGGCAAAAGGCCACAAGCAAATGCAGAAAGACTCTGTCTGAGATTGCAAACCTAGGGTTTTTACATGCTGTTTTTACCACATATTTTTTCAGAATGTATAATACATTCACATGGTTCAAAAGACATGAAAGATATTTCAGTGAAATATCTCTCTCTCACCTCTGTTCCCAGCCACCTACTGCCCCTTCCTAAAGACAACCAACATTACTAGTTTCCTGCATATCTTTCCAGAAATATTCTATGCTTGTACAAGGCCATATAGACATATACCCTTACCACTGCCATTTTTTTACACAAATGATAGCATAGAATAGATACTGTTTGGCACTTTATTATTTTTTTTACCTGACAATGAATTGTGGATGTCATTAAGTATCAGTACATTAAAAAAGCGTTGTTTTTATAGCTTCATTATATTCTAGTGAATTGTGTAACAGGATGTATTGTAATGAATACTCTTTTGATAATCATTTTCATTATTTTCAATCCTTTCTTATTTAATTTTTTTTTAAGTAGGCTCCACACCCAGCCTGGAGCCCAGTGCAGGGCCCGAAACCACAACCCTGAGATCAAGACCTGAGCCAAGATCAAGAGCCAGACGCTCAACTGACTGAGCCACCCAGGCAACCCCTTTTCTTATTTAAAAAACAATGCTGTGATGAATACCTGTGTCCACCTGCCATTTCTAGATGCAGGTCCCTAGTGCCATAGCCCACCTCACTGCACTGATTTGCAGAAGGGTCAGTCCAAGGGCATTATGGACTAAACTACCCGACAGCTCAAAGTTAAAACTGTGATGGGTACTGAAACTTTTGTTTTCCTTTTCTATTATTTGGGGAATGGGAAGAGAGTAAAAGAGCAGAATTTTTTTTCATCTTAAATAAATGCGTATTTATCCTCTAACCCACCACAGCAGAAAATAGCCGAGAAGATGATTTAAACTTGGCAGGCTTACCAGTTTGGGTATTCAACATATTTTCATTTGTCTGTGCACCAAGGATATAGTGGATGCTTTCTTAAATACCTTTAAGTCTTTTCTTCAAACTTCCCCCTTCCTCCCTGTCCTCTTTTTGCCCACTCCTTTCCTCCTCCTCCTTTAGATGTCCAATTGTCCAGGCCCAAAAGCTGGGATTCATCCCCACTTCTGCCTTCTTTCTCACCCCTGCCCTGTGGTGCCATGGTCAGAAGAGCTGGAAGTGACCCACATGCTCATTCTTGGTTGCCAGGACAGTGGCCAGCCGGAGGCTGGAGGCTGGAGCCTGGAGTCTCCTTCTCACTCAAAGAGGCTGCCCAAAGGGGCAGTCCCCTCCTCCCACCTCCCAACCACTCCCAGCAGCTTCCCATGAGCCCAGGGTTTCCCTCCCGGGAGGGACAACCAGCATTCCCAGGCAAGTTCTTCAAACAATACCCTCCCACAGTGTATTTCCCCAGCACCCGGCAACAGGCTGCTTCCTCACATCGGCCCAATAAAAAGGAAGGGTATTGATGGGGTTCAGGACATGCTACCCCAAAATATGGCACTGTGACATATTGAATATTTTAAACTGAAGGAGTTTGAGAAATGGCAGAAGCAGGAAGGTCACTCTGACCTCCCCAACCCTCCTTTTGCCCCTGAAGCAGCACCAAACCCTCCTGTGGGAGGTGCCCGCCCTATACCTGGCAGAAAGTGCATCCTTATCCCAGAAGAACGAGGGACTGCGAGAAGGATCCTAACAAACAGGCCTTGCTAAGTTTCTCCTTGTTCGCTACACTTACCTCACTCCTCAGTCTATAGTATTTCTTCACGACAGCTCACCCTGCATCAAACCTAGAATAAAAATACTCAGGTCTAGCTGTTTCTTCGGGTCTTCAGCTCCTTATGAAGGCTCCTATGTTACATAAAACTTATATTAAATAAATTTGTATGCTTTTATCCCATTAATCTGTCTTTGTCAGTTTAACTTTCAGATCCAACCAGGGACCCGGAAGCACTGAGGAAAGTATTTTCTTCCCCTGCAGCCTCAGGGGGCAGTTCCATCACATACCCAGCACAGCACCCTGCCCACAACTCTTCCCTGTGGGGTGATAGGAACACGGAAGCCTCCTGTTCTTCCTTGATGACACAGCTCAGTAATTCTCCCCCCAGTAATGCCTCTTGCCTAACTCATGCAGTGTAGCATTGTGGAATTTCTCCTGAACCCTGACACAAGATAAGGGGTCACCACAAAGAGACCCATCTTGCACGACAGGTGACCAATCAGTCCCCAAATCCTCCTAATCCCAAGTAGCTGGTTTTTGAATGAGCTGGATGTGGTAGGTACAAGTAGAGTGTAGTGTTTTTCCTTCTCACCTGTTCCCCTCCAATCCACCCTCAGGATCCATTCTAGGTAAGCTCTGGATGAAATCTCAGGCAAATTCTGTCATCTTTCTGGTGACTGTCACATAATAAAAAGTCCACTCTGGCTGACCTAACTGCAGGCTGGGGAGACACAATGGAAGTTGCTGTCGCCACCCCTCCCCCTACTCCCCATGGTGGCAAGTCTTTCAAGCAGCTCCACACCTTCCAACAGAGAGTAGAAGGTGATGGACTGATCCAAAAGCAGCATCCTACCAAAATCCTGGGGGTAATAAGAAGATACAAGAGTGAGAAGCAGATTCCTGGACTGGATAAAACCAAGCACCACGGACCAGATCATGTCAACATGGGTGATTAATCAGAATAAGCCGAAGGATGTACAGCTGAATGTTAATTAAACTGCTTCCTTCTGGTCACAGACACTGAGTGGGGAGCATTTCCACTTGGGTTCTGAAGCCCACCAAAGTGAGAAGGATAAAGGATTCCTATATGTGGTACACGCCTCTCAGGAGACATTCAGGAAGAAAAGGCTCGTGTAAGCCTAGCAAAATGAATTTATTTTAGAATGTTTTAAACCCTTGCCAAGGATAACAGGGATGCTACCAACTGTGACTGATCAATTCGCCTAATCACAGGTTATCAAAGCGTAGCGTTCCCACCTAAGAGTTTTAGGAAGTTGCTTTGGTATTTCAAGCAGAACAACTGAGTTCCAAATAAGCACATTCAGCTTTGGAGAAACTACATTATTTAGCCAATGGTGCTCTCTTGTTTTCAAATTTTAAAAGCTTAAAAATAAAATACTTTGCATTTTAAGTTGCCAATAAAAAAGAACTTAGAGTTACTTTAATGCTCTTTTTTCCCCAATAGGAATATGCAATGCAAACAGTAAGTTAGAGGCTTTCACAAAGACATTGTCTTTAGGCTCACAGAACCTGCTGACTTTATAGAAGGGTTTCTATTCAACTAGAGAAATCTCCATAAGAAGATCCAAACTCATTTGCCATAGTAGTTGGTACAAAGCAGGATATATAGGGTTGTATACATATATATTAAAAAAAAAAACCCCTGACTCTGAATGGCTGTTCAAGGTTCCTGATTCCTTATAGAAAGTTTACCAAAAGTTAACTTTCTCACAGTGTTAGCAAGTTCTTATCTAGTTTGTTCTCTGAAATGATAACACACAGAGAACAAAAACCAAGAAACAACAGGGACACCTGGGTGGCTCAGTCCTTTAAGCCTCTGCCTCTTGGTTTAGGCTCAGGTCTTGATCTCAGGGTCCTAGGATTGAGCTCTGCATCGGGCTCTGTGCTCAGCGTGGAGTCTGCTTGGGATTCTCTTTCTCCCTCTCTCTGCTCACACGCTGTCTCTCTTTCTCTAAAATAAATCTTAACAACAACAACAAAAAAACAAGAAACAACAACAAAAGCACGGCTTAAGAGAAACCTTGAAAAATTTATAATTTTGGTCTAGCTTCTAGAAAGTTCCAGAGGTAAAGGGAGTAGCATTTGTTCTGCTTTTGCATTTTTCTAAGAACTCAGACTAGTGCCTGACTGGTAAATAAACAGTTTTATCAGTTTCATCAGCGGTAGAAACTACAGATTACCAAAACTAAAAGTATTACAATTCAGATGCACTCCCATCATGTTACATGTTAAGTGAGTGACTAAAATATGTTATTAAAACATTGTCACATATTTCAGAGTACTTCAGTAATTTCCATTAGATGCAACGGCCACCAAATCCCCCCATCCTAAGTGCATGTCATTTGTGAAGTAAATGCTGCAAAAGGAGATATATGCCCTTTACTTTATGGGAATGTCAAGGGCTAAACATCCTTTAGGTTCAAACTAAATAAACAACTTGATGCTTCTTGCTCTTTGCTGGTGTTCTCTTGACTCTTTTCATGGGAGTATCACAGAAAATTCACAGTACTCTCACTTTAGATTATATCAATAGCAGGTCAAAACTCATGCTTGTGTATTTAGGTGTGTGTAGAATGTAGAACCCATCTGTGAGTGAGTTGTTTACTGTCATGGAGGGCGCAAGGCAATGGCCCCATGTATGAGCACTTGGTGGATCATACAGGGATCCCCCACCTCCTCTCACATGCTCTTCTGACTCCATGCATCTGTCCACATGGCTAATAGTTATTATGTATATTTTTTACATTAGGTAAGTCCTTAATCAGCCTGTCTTATTTAGATTGAATACATCATTATATCTGACCTTCTTATAACTACTGTGTGAGTAATAAGCTTCCAATTAGAAATATTGCCTTAAAAAAAATACCGTGCTGAGAAGGGTGACCTAAATCCTGCATTAGTGTGTAGGCACTTTATTTATAGGGTCTTTAAAACAATTACATTTTTAATGAACTAGAGTGAATAAAGGCAGGACTAGTAACTATCTAAAAAGAAAAAAAAATGTCCAGTCCAGGGTAATAGTGAAACTCAAAAGTCCCTACCAATTTAGAACTTTCCCCTTGCCTTCATCAGGCTTCCTCGAGGCTGAGAAATGTGCAATGGAGAGGGTCATTTAGCTTTCAGATTCTTCTGGAGTGTTTGTTCTACCACCTTCCCACCACTTGGACACTGTGTTGGGCAACCCTGGGGATAAAGCACTTGAAGATTGGCAGTTAGAGGGAAGAGGCAAAAAACACTGAAACTGAAAGGGGCAGCTGCAAGCTTTCGAGGTGTCCCTGGGGCATGATGAAAAGCTGGAGCCAACCCTATTTCACTGGCACTCCCGGGGGGCCTTTGGAGATCCCCCTGTTGCTGCCGGCTCACCTGACTGTTTGGGGGGATAAGTAATACCTTTTCTGGATATCTGTTTGCAAGTCCCCATTAAGTTCCAGGTTGCCCTGGGACTTAGGTTCATCAGTCGTTGGAATCACTCCCCGGCCCCAGCCTCCCCGCAGCTTGCCTGTTTGGATGGGGCTTCCTCTTAGAACGACCGGATCCGACTGCCTTGCTGTGTGTGTGGCCCACAGGACGCCCCGGGTCATCCTTGCCCTGCCACACCATGGAAGTGCAGGCCTTTCCCAAGCAGCCCCCCTCCTCCTGCCGCTGCTGCCCCGTGGGGCCTCAGCCTCCTGGTGTTAGCTTCCCAGGCACGAGGGCCAGCACATTTCCAATGACTCTCAACCGTCAAGGCAACAAGTTCAAGGGCTCCAAATGGGGTGTTCTCTGAGCTCCTCTCATTAGCTTAAAGTGAGTTGGAAACCACCACCACACCCTGTTTTGAGGAACACAGTACCTTTCTGCAAGAAAATCCTCCTGGGAGGCTCTTCAACCTCCCAATGACCCTTCACCATCTCTTTTATACTCAGCGTGGGCGATGGGCTAACCCTGGTAAAACTATTTCACAATCTCTTCCCGGGCTGTGATCCACTACCTTGCTTTGGAACGAGGGAGTACTTGGCATTTACTCTTGTTTCCTCCAAAATTGGGCCCTCTGCTGAGGTTTCCAGACAAAAAGAAGAGTCCATTTTAACACCTTGTTTTACTTTATGTTCTCAATTCTTAGATGACATCTTTTGTAACCCTGTCTATGTAGTTAGAGTTTTGTTTTGTTTTGTTCATTTTACTATTACTCAATAGCTGGAAGTTCTCTGAACAATTCCGTTTTGTTTTTTTTTTTTTAATGTAGTAAGAGTTTTGAGTGACTGGGGAGAGAGAAGCAGCACGGTGCTGTGTGCATGACTGACAAGGAGATGATCCACTTCAGGATCTCAGAGACTAAGAGGGAAGAGTCTGCCCTTAAATACAGAAAATGCATATTTCTTACACCTCTCTGCTTATCTCCATCCTCACTACCCACCTTAGCTTTAGACCCCATTCCCTCTTGCCTGTGTGGGGGATAATCTCTCCGCTTAGTAATCTCAGTGACAATGTGTGTCCCTTCCTCTGCTCTCACCAGACTGTTTCTAACATATGACTCTATTTGTTCCCTAGGGTTGCAGAAACAAATGACCACAAAGATGGTGGCTCTAAACAATAACACTTCCTTGTCTCATGGTCCTGGAGCCCAGAGGCCAAAATCAAGGTGTCCTCAGGTTTAGTTCCTTCCGGAGGCTCTGAGGAAGGAACCACCCCATGCCTCTCTCCCAGCTGCTTCTGGCTCCAGCAAGCTCTGGCATCTGGTGGCTGGTAGAGACATCATTCCAACCTCTGTCTCCATCTTCACTGGACTTCTCTGTGAGTCTCTGTCTCAAATCTCCTTCTTCTCGCTCTTATGAGGACACCGGTCATTGGATTTGGACCCCCTATCTAAGTCTCTACAAGTCTCTAAAAACCATCTCATTTCGAGATCCTTCACTTACTTAGGTCTGCAAAGACCCTATTTTCAAATAAGGTCACATTCACAGCTACTGGGATTAGGACTTGGATGGATCTTTGGGGCCGGGGGCAGGGGGCGGGGAGTTGAGAGCACCACTTAGCCACAGCCATAACAAAGGGCTTCGCCCACACAGCCTGCCCTCTCCTCTTTACTCAGCATTCACCATCCGACCTCCAAACAGTAAAGCTGAGAATGCTTCTGAAAGACTGAAATGTACACTGGCGGACCAGTTGTTTTCTTGTTGTTTTGCTTTGCACAGACTGGGTGAATGAGAATGGGCGTGGAGAACACAAAGTAGAGAAACCTCAGTCCTAGAAGGGGGAGCAGGACACAGCACGCGGAGGCTGACTCGGGGGGAGCCAACGGCCACTAGCCGGCAACTCCTCTGGAGTAGTTCTGTGGTTAGAACTTGACAGGATTACATTCTGAAGGCTCTGAGAAGCCCTGCTCTGGAAACCCTGCCAATACACACACAGACACACACACACGCCACACACATGCACTGTACACACATACCGGACACACACGCCTCCCGCCCCGGTGCCCCCCACCCCCCCACACACACCATATTGCGTCTTTCCCCTGGC